TGGGACAAGAGTTAAGAAGCTCACGATGACAGCTGTGAGACAAGGTCAACAAGCTCACCATGACAGCTGTGAGACAAGGGTCAACAAGCTCACAATAACAGCTGTGAGACAAGGGTCAATAAGCTCACCATAACAGTTGTCAGACAAGGGTGAACAAGCTCACCATAAAACTTGTGAGACAAGGGTCAAGTTCACAATTACAGCTGTAAGACAAGGGTCAACAAGCTCATCATAACAGCTGTGAGACACGGGATAACAAGCTCACCATAACAGCTGTGAGTCAAGGGTCAACAAGCACACCTTAACAGCTGTGAGACAAGGGTCAACAAGCTCACCATAACAGCTTTGTGACAAGGGTCAACAACCTCACAATAACAGCTGTGAGACAAGGGTCAACAAGCACACCTTAACAGCTGTGAGACAAGGGTCAACAAGCTCACCATAACAGCTGTGAGACAAGGGTCAACAAGCTCACCACGATAGCGGTGAGACAAGGGTCAACAAGCTCACCATAACAGCAGTGAGACAAGGGTCAACAAGCTCACCATAACAGTGGTGAGACAAGGGTCAACAAGCTCACCATAACAGCAGTGAGACAAGGGTCAACAAGCTCAGCATAACAGATATCAGACAGAGGTCATCAAGCTCACCATAACTGCTGTGAAACAAGGGTCAACAAGCTCACCATAACAGCGGTGAGACAAGGGTCAACAAGCTCACCATAACAGCGGTGAGACAAGGGTCAACAAGCTCACCATAACAGCGGTGAGACAAGGGTCAACAAGCTCACCATAACAGCGGTGAGACAAGGGTCAACAAGCTCACCATAACAGATATGAGACAAAGGTCAACAAGCTCACCATAACCGCTGTTAGACAAGGGTCAACAGGCTCACCATAACAGCTGGAAGACAACGGTCAACAAGCTCACCATAACAGCTGTAAGAAAAGGGTCAACAAGCTCACCATAACAGCTGTGAGACAAGGGTCAACAAGCACACCATAACACCTGGGTGACAAGGGTCAACAAGCTCACAATAACAGTTGTGAGACAAGGGTCAACAAGCTCACTATAACAGCTGTGAGACAAGGGTCAACAAGCTCACCATAACAGTTGTGAGACAAGGGTCAACAAGCTCACTACAACAGTTGTGAGACAAGGGTCAACAAGCTCACCACGACAGCGGTGAGCAAGGGTCAACAAGCTCACCATAACAGCAGTGAGACAAGGGTCAACAAGCTCACCATAACAGAGGTGAGACAAGGGTCAACAAGCTCACCATAACAGTGGTGAGACAAGGGTCAATGAGCTCACAATAACAGCTGTGATACAAGGGTCAATAAGCTCACCATAACAGTTGTGAGACAAGGGTTATCAAGCTCGCAATAACAGCTGTGATACAAGGGTCAATAAGCTCACCATAAGAGCTGTGAGACAATGGTCAACAAGCTCACCATAAAACTTGTGAGACAAGGGTCAAGTTCACAATTACAGCTGTAAGACAAGGGTCGACCACCTCATCATAACAGCTGTGAGACAAGGGATAAAGAGCTCACCATAACACCTGTGAGAAAAGGGTCAACTAGCTCAACATAAAAGCTTGGAGACAAGGGTCAACAAGCTCACTATAACAGCTGTGAGACAAGGGTCAACAAGCTGACAATAACAGGTGTGAGACAATGGTCAACAAGCTCACCATAGAAGGTGTGAGACAAGGTTTATCAAGCTCACCATAACAGCTGAGAGGCAAGGGTCAACAAGCTCACCATCAATGCTATAAAACAAGGGTCAACAAGTGCACCACAACAGTTGTGAGATAAGAGTCAACAAGCTCAAAATAACAGCTGTGAGACAAGGATCAACAAGCTTACCATACCAGCTGTGAGACAAGGATCACCAAGCTCACCATAACAGCTAGGAGATAAGGGTAAAAAAGCTCACCATAACAGCTGTGAGACAAGGCTCAACAAGCTCACTATAACAGATGTGAGACAAGGGATAGAGCTCACCATAACAGCTGTGAGACAAGGGTCAACAAGCACACCATAACAGCTGTGAGACAAGGGTAAACAAGCTCACCATAACAGCTGTGAGACAAGGGTCAACAAGCTCACCATGACAGCTGTGAGACAAGGGTCAACAAGCTTACCATAACAGCTGTGAGACAAGAGTCAACAAGCACATCATAACAGATGTGAGACAAGGGTCAACAAGCTCACAATAACAGCTGTGAGATAAGGGTCAACAAGCTCACCATAAAAGCTGTGAGACAAGGGTCAACGAGCTCACCATAACAGCTGTGAGACAAGGGTTAACAAGCACACCACAACAGATGTGAGACAAAAGTCAAAAAGCTTGCAATAACAGCTGTGAGACAAGGGCCAACAAGCTCACCATGACAGCTGTGAGACAAGGGTCAACAAGCTCACCATAACAGATGTGAGACAAGGGTCAACAAGCACACCACAACAGATGTGAGACAAGGGATAAAGAGCTCACCATAACATCTGTGAGACAAAGGTCAACAAGCTCACAATAGCAGCTGTGAGACAAGGGTCATCAAGCTCACCATAACAGTTGTGAGACAAGGGTCAACAAGCTCACCATAACAGCTGTGAGACAAGGGTTAACAAGCTCACCATAACAGCTGTGAGACAAGGGTCAACAAGCTCACTGTGAGACATAACAGCTGTGAGACAAGGGTCAAAAAGCTCACCATAACAGCTGTGAGACAAGGGCTCACCATAACAAGCTTACAATAACCAGCAGCTGTGAGACAAGGGTCAACAAGCTCACCATAACAGCTGTGAGACAAGGGTTAACAAGCTCACCATAACAGCTGTGAGACAAGGGTCAACAAGCTCACCATAACAGCTGTGAGACAAAAGTCAAAAAGCTTGCAATAACATCTGTGAGACAAGGGTCAACAAGCTCACCATAACAGCTGTGAGACAAGGGTCAACAAGCTCACGATAACAGCTATAAGAGAAGGGTAAACAAGCTCACCATAACAGCTGGGAGACAAGGGTCAACAAGCTCACGATAACAGCTGTGAGACAAGGGTCAACAAGGTCACCATAACAGCTGTGAGACAAAGGTCAACACGCTCACCATAACAGCAGTGAGACAAGGGTCAACAAGCTCACCATAACAGCTGTGAGACAAGGGTCAACAAGCTCACCATAACAGCAGTGAGACAAGGGTCAACAAGCTTACCATAACAGCTGTGAGACAAGGGTCAACAAGCTCACCATAACAGCAGTGAGACAAGGGTCAACAAGCTCACCATAACAGCAGTGAGACAAGGGTCAACAAGCTCACCATAACAGCTGTGAGACAAGGGTCAACAAGCTCACCATAACAGCAGTGAGACAAGGGTCAACAAGCTCACCATAACAGCTGTGAGACAAGGGTCAACAAGCTCACCATAACAGCAGTGAGACAAGGGTCAACAAGCTCACCATAACAGCAGTGAGACAAGGGTCAACAAGCTCACCATAACAGCTGTGAGACAAGGGTCAACAAGCTCACCATAACAGCTGTGAGACAAGGGTCAACAAGCTCACCATAACAGCTGTGAGACAAGGGTCAACAAGCTCACCATAACAGCTGTGAGACAAGGGTCAACAAGCTCACCATAACAGCTGTGAGACAAGGGTCAACAAGCTCACCATAACAGCTGTGAGACAAGGGTCAACAAGCTCACCATAACAGCTGTGAGACAAGGGTCAACAAGCTCACCATAACAGCTGTGAGACAAGGGTCAACAAGCTCACCATAACAGCTGTGAGACAAGGGTCAACAAGCTCACCATAACAGCTGTGAGACAAGGGTCAACAAGCTCACCATAACAGCTGTGAGACAAGGGTCAACAAGCTCACCATAACAGCTGTGAGACAAGGGTCAACAAGCTCACCATAACAGCTGTGAGACAAGGGTCAACAAGCTCACCATAACAGCTGTGAGACAAGGGTCAACAAGCTCACCATAACAGCTGTGAGACAAGGGTCAACAAGTTCACCATAACAGCTGTGAGACAAGGGTCAACAAGCTTATCATAACAGCTGTGAGACAAGTGTCAACCAGCTCACCATCACAGATGTGAGACAAGAGTCAACAAGCTCACCATAACAGCCATGAGACAAGGGTCAATAAGCTCACCATAACAGCTGTGAGACAAGGGTCAACAAGCTCACAATAACAGCTGTGAGGCAAGGGTCAACAAGCTCACCATAACAGTTGTGAGACAAGGGTCAACAAGCTCACCATAAGATCTGTGAAACAAGGGTCAACAAGCTCACCATAACAGCTTTGTGACAAGGGTCAACAACCTCACAATAACAGCTGTGAGACAAGGGTCAACAAGCTCACCTTAACAGCTGTGAGACAAGGGTCAACAAGCTCACCATAACAGCTGTGAGACAAGGGTCAACAAGCTCACCATAACAGCTGTGAGACAAGGGTCAACAAGCTCACCATAACAGCTGTGAGACAAGGGTCAACAAGCTCACCATAACAGCTGTGAGACAAGGGTCAACAAGCTCACCATAACAGCTGTGAGACAAGGGTCAACAAGCTCACCATAACAGCTGTGAGACAAGGGTCAACAAGCTCACCATAACAGCTGTGAGACAAGGGTCAACAAGCTCACCATAACAGCTGTGAGACAAGGGTCAACAAGCTCACCATAACAGCTGTGAGACAAGGGTCAACAAGCTCACCATAACAGCTGTGAGACAAGGCTATGTCATGGGTTCATCCTGGCCGGGGAGGATTTACTGGGCACAATTCCTTAACTGTAGCCTCTGTTTAACAAGCAACAGTAACATGTGTACTTGGATGAAAAAACGATTCTTCGCGGCAGGGGATCGTATTCCAGGGACCATAGGATTAAGGACTTGCCCGAAACGCTACGCGTACTAGGGCTGTACAAGAATGTAACAACTCTTGTATATATCTCAAAAAAAAAACAGCTGTGAGACAAGGGTCAACAAGCTCACCATAACAGCTGTGGCGTCGTCCTCTTGTTTACATCGCTCTCATCCTCTCTACATCTCTCCTCAATATACCACAGACTCATAATGTAGTAGCTGTAGCAATAAAACAGTGTATAATATTACGTCTATGATAATTCTGTCATAACGGGTAGTGTTGCTTGTATTTTTTATAATGTAATGGGTGAAACGTAGTTTAGTTGAGTAACGTCCAACTTGTCAGCAATGTTGATATTTACCTCAATTTACCTGAGGGTCACTATCTCTTTAGTAGCCTTGACGAGGGCAGGAAGCCGGCAGGTTGTCGAAGGTTCCCTAATTTGTCCTTATGATTTTACCCAAATGGAGTGTAAATTATAGCCGGATTGGCATTTACAGTTCGGCGGGTAGGCGGCTCCTGATTTACCTGAATTTTTCTGAGGGTCACTAACACTAATCGCCTCAATGAGGACAGGACGCCGGCGGCTTGTCGAAGGTGCTATCAAGGCCTATCAACCTCTGGAGGGTTATTAAGGCCTATCAACCTCTGGAGGGTTATTAAGGCCTATCAACCTCTAGAGGGTTATTAAGGCCTATCAACCTCTGGAGGGTTATTAAGGCCTATCAACCTCTGGAGGGTTATTAAGGCCTATCAACCTCTGGAGGGTTATTAAGGCCTATCAACCTCTGGAGGGTTATTAAGGCCTATCAACCTCTGGAGGGTTATTAAGGCCTATCAACCTCTGGAGGGTTATTAAGGCCTATCAACCTCTGGAGGGTTATTAAGGCCTATCAACCTCTGGAGGGTTATTAAGGCCTATCAACCTCTGGAGGGTTATTAAGGCCTATCAACCTCTGGAGGGTTATTAAGGCCTATCAACCTCTGGAGGGTTATTAAGGCCTATCAACCTCTGGAGGGTTATTAAGGCCTATCAACCTCTGGAGGGTTATTAAGGCCTATCAACCTCTGGAGGGTTATTAAGGCCTATCAACCTCTGGAGGGTTATTAAGGCCTATCAACCTCTGGAGGGTTATTAAGGCCTATCAACCTCTGGAGGGTTATTAAGGCCTATCAACCTCTGGAGGGTTATTAAGGCCTATCAACCTCTGGAGGGTTATTAAGGCCTATCAACCTCTGGAGGGTTATTAAGGCCTATCAACCTCTGGAGGGTTATTAAGGCCTATCAACCTCTGGAGGGTTATTAAGGCCTATCAACCTCTGGAGGGTTATTAAGGCCTATCAACCTCTGGAGGGTTATTAAGGCCTATCAACCTCTGGAGGGTTATTAAGGCCTATCAACCTCTGGAGGGTTATTAAGGCCTATCAACCTCTGGAGGGTTATTAAGGCCTATCAACCTCTGGAGGGTTATTAAGGCCTATCAACCTCTGGAGGGTTATTAAGGCCTATCAACCTCTGGAGGGTTATTAAGGCCTATCAACCTCTGGAGGGTTATTAAGGCCTATCAACCTCTGGAGGGTTATTAAGGCCTATCAACCTCTGGAGGGTTATTAAGGCCTATCAACCTCTGGAGGGTTATTAAGGCCTATCAACCTCTGGAGGGTTATTAAGGCCTATCAACCTCTGGAGGGTTATTAAGGCCTATCAACCTCTGGAGGGTTATTAAGGCCTATCAACCTCTGGAGGGTTATTAAGGCCTATCAACCTCTGGAGGGTTATTAAGGCCTATCAACCTCTGGAGGGTTATTAAGGCCTATCAACCTCTGGAGGGTTATTAAGGCCTATCAACCTCTGGAGGGTTATTAAGGCCTATCAACCTCTGGAGGGTTATTAAGGCCTATCAACCTCTGGAGGGTTATTAAGGCCTATCAACCTCTGGAGGGTTATTAAGGCCTATCAACCTCTAATTAAGGCCTATCAACCTCTGGAGGGTTATTAAGGCCTATCAACCTCTGGAGGGTTATTAAGGCCTATCAACCTCTGGAGGGTTATTAAGGCCTATCAACCTCTGGAGGGTTATTAAGGCCTATCAACCTCTAGAGGGTTATTAAGGCCTATCAACCTCTGGAGGGTTATTAAGGCCTATCAACCTCTGGAGGGTTATTAAGGCCTATCAACCTCTGGAGGGTTATTAAGGCCTATCAACCTCTAGAGGGTTATTAAGGCCTATCAACCTCTGGAGGGTTATTAAGGCCTATCAACCTCTGGAGGGTTATTAAGGCCTATCAACCTCTGGAGGGTTATTAAGGCTCAACCTCTGGAGGGTTATTAAGGCCTATCAACCTCTAGAGGGTTATTAAGGCCTATCAACCTCTAGAGGGTTATTAAGGCCTATCAACCTCTAGAGGGTTATTAAGGCCTATCAACCTCTAGAGGGTTATTAAGGCCTATCAACCTCTAGAGGGTTATTAAGGCCTATCAACCTCTGGAGGGTTATTAAGGCCTATCAACCTCTGGAGGGTTATTAAGGCCTATCAACCTCTAGAGGGTTATTAAGGCCTATCAACCTCTAGAGGGTTATTAAGGCCTATCAACCTCTAGAGGGTTATTAAGGCCTATCAACCTCTGGAGGGTTATTAAGGCCTATCAACCTCTGGAGGGTTATTAAGGCCTATCATCCTCTGGAGGGTTATTATGGCCAATCAACCTCTAGAGGGTTATTAAGGCCTATCAACCTCTAGAGGGTTATTAAGGCCTATCAACCTCTAGAGGGTTATTAAGGCCTATCAACCTCTTGAGGGTTATTAAGGCCTATCAACCAGTAGAGGGTTATTAAGGCCTATCAACCTCTGGAGGGTTATTAAGGCCTATCGACCACTGGAGGGTTATTAAGACCTAACAACCTCTGAAAGTTTACTGAGTCCTATTGAATATGGTAAGGCCTATATTATGACAAGATAGTTAATGTAATGAAATCCAATTAACTCTTTCTCTTAACACATTAACAAATAGATTATGTTCACATTCAGTTTTTTATCAACCTTGCTGAGCAGTGATGATTTTTTCTGAGAACTTTGAATTAGTTTTATATTGATGTTAACCTTATGAATGGTTTACTGTGAGCTGAGAGTTGGCAGGAGGGCAGGGGAGAAATTATCAGAGAAGAGCACCAAGCTATTACAACTACAGTATATAGCAGAGTTGGCAGGAGCTGTTGCCAAATATTTCTAACCACCCCATTCCCTGTCCCCGGCTTATTACAGTAATCATGTGTATGGATTGTAATCATAATTGTGTGGTATATCAATGAAAATTATTATTTGGAGGCAATGAAGTGACTTGAACCCGCATTCTGGCAATTCCCAAACACCTGCCTTAATCGTTCTATCATGACCGAGTCGGTTAAGGCAGGTGTCTGGGACTCTCCAGAATGTGGGCTCAAGTCTCTCCATTGCCTCAAAATGATTTTCTAATACCTTATATGGATCAACCATATGTTGCCCTCCTCACACGTATTAGCTGAACCCATGTGTGTTTTAATTGTCAACACACATCACATTATGTAATTGGGTATAATTCCCATTATCAGGGACAGGAAGCCTGTAATATTAGGCTTATCAAGGTCTCATTTTTGGCAAATACTGTTCTTTCCCCAAGATGCAGCTCACAACAGTTTTCTAACTCCCACACACCTATTTTACCCCTGGGTGAACAGCGGCAAGAAATATGGCCAACTGTTTCTGTCATGCCAAAGAATTGTACCCAAGTCCCTTGAATGCAAGGTAAGGATGAAGACCACTGTATTCATACTCATATATTATTATCATCTCTATATATATGAACAAGCTTGAATGGTCTCCAAGCATATATGCAACTGAAAACTCCACACCTCAGAAGTGACTCGAACCCAGACCGCCAGGAGCACAATGCAACTGGTGTACATGCTCCTTTAACCACTCAACCATCAGTAATTGTACAAAAGACGATGATAGCCAAGGCTATTTGACCACCATCCCGATGGCACTTTGATGGTAATCTTGGGCATAGTTACAGTATTTCATCAAATCACCTGACTTTGTGGGGCTCCGTGAGCAACACAAATGCGAACACGCTTGAATGATCTCCAAGCATGCAACTGAAAACTCCACACCTCAGAAGTGACTCGAATCCAGACCACCAGGAGCACAATGCAACTGGTGTACATGGTATCTTAACCACTTGACCATCAGTGACCGTACAAAAGACGACGATAGTCGAAGCTACTTTACCACCGTCCCGAAGGCACTTTGATGGTAACATTGGGCATAGTTATTTCATCAAATCACCTCACTTGATTTGTGAGGTGCCAGAACGCACTTCTCAGCCTACTATGCAAGGCCCGATTTGCCTAATAAGCCAAGTTTTCATGAATTAATATATTTTCTCTAATTTTTTGCTAATGGAATGATAAAGCTACCCATTTCATTATGTATGAGGTCAATTTTTTGTTATCGGAGTTAAAATTGATGTAGATATATGACCGAACCTAACCAACCCTACCTAACCTAACCTAACCTATCTTTATAGGTTAGGTTAGGTTAGGTAGCCGAAAAAGTTAGGTTAGGTTAGGTTAGGTAGGTTAGGTAGTCGAAAAACAATTATATATATATGAGAAGTATAGGTACGACATATATATATATATATATATATATATATATATATATATATATATATATATATATATATATATATATATAGTATATTTTGGTAGCAGTCTTTCCTGTAGACATATATTATTAAATATGACCGAAAAAGTAAGATTAATAATTCTAACACAAATTTTCATGCTCATGAGAAACTCTCCAGACACAAAGCAGAACGTTTTAAAAGAGACCAACGTCGTCTATGCCTTCAAATGCCCTCTTGGGGATTGTAAGCCTCAAAAAACTCAGTATATAGGCAAGACAACAACATCTCTTTCCAGGCGTTTAACGATGCATAAGCAACAGGGCTCCATTAAGGAACATATAGCCTCTTCCCACAACCAAACCATCACCAGAGAAATCTTAGCAAACAATACAGAAATCATCGATAGATACAGCGATAGCAGGTGGCTCGACGTCTGCGAGGCACTACATATCAAGAAGTCAACACCAGCAATCAACAGCCAATTAATGCACAACTATATTCTACCCACTTCAAGACTCCGCTCCAATATATAAGCATCAAGAAATATGGGCCAATAAAAATAG